TGTATTTCTATTCGTATTGCTCTCTCTATCTCTCTCTCTCGCTCGCTATCGCATATTCTTTTGGTATGTCAAATTTCCAATTGGGTCGCACGCATCGCAACTTCTGCTGTTTGCGAATTTTTTTTTCTTCTTTCATTTTTGTTGCTTTTTTTCGCAAATGCGTCGATCGCGGAAACGAAACAAAATGATGTTGTTGTTGATGTTGTTGGCGCTGCTCTTAGCCTGTGTGTGTGTGTGTGTGTGTAAAGCAACGAACGCATTGCGTAATCGACGCTGCTCGTCGCTGCGCCTTTGCAGCTTGACAACACAGAGCAGCGCTGTCAGCAGCGGACGCTAGTTAAGTTCAGTTGGACGCTTAGTTAGCGCCTACATGTGTGCAGTCTATCTTCTATGTGTGTGTGTGTGTGTTTGTGTGTGTATGTGTGCCCATGTGCTGGCTGTGTTTATAAAAGCAGTTAGAAGTCAAATGGCGCTGCCTAGCTGCGCTCTGAAGCAATGCCAAAGCAGGCAGCTTTCGAAAGCGTGCACATGTTCGCATGTATGCATGTGTGTGTGTGTGTATGTGGGAGCTTTTGTCAGCTGCTTTTCGGCGTCATGCGTAAGCGGCTATAAATTTAGCAAGCACCAAACAGAATTAGCAACGGCAAAGGCAACGGCAACGGCAGCTAAAGCAGAAGAACCAGAGTCAAAACGATGTCGTGGGCTGCGCAGGCGTCAGCGTTGCCGTCGCTGCCGGCATCGGCATCAGCGTCAGCGTCGACAGTGACTTTTCGCTTTTTGTGTACAGTTGTTCATTTCATGCCTGCTTTTTCGGCCGAACGCGGAATAGAATTCTTCTTTTTTTTCTGTTTCTATTTTTTTTTTTTTGCGAAATTAGCAACAACAAAAACAACAGCGAAAATCTAACAGCGAATTCTTTTTATTTGCCATTTTATTTTTTGCCAGCTTTTTTTTTTTTTTTTTTTTTTTTCTTTTATAGCGACGCACAAAAGCGCGTTAAGTTTAGCCTATTGAGAACTACAACAACAACAACAACATGGCAGCGTATTTAGGTCAAACGCTCAGCGCTGGCAACTGCGTGCCGATTGGCAAAAATACGAAAAAAAAAATGAGAAGCGAAAAAATTAAATTTTTTCTTTGCGAATTTTTTTTCCTGCTGGGTTTTTTGCTGATTTCATTTATCTTTGTGTGCGGCTGCCGCTGTTGTTGTTGTTGTTGTCGCTGGTTGCTGGTTCTTCTAGGTTGTTAGTTGTCTGTGGCACAACAACAACAACAACAATAACAGCGACAATGTTTTTTATTGCCTATGCTGTGCGTTACCTAAATAACGGTTCATCAAACGTCATGGCCAAGATACATACATACATACATATGTATGCATCTGTGCGATACGCAAGTATCTGGAGAATACACAAGTATATCCAATATAAATTGTTAGCTATGCGATACAAAAGTATCTGTGAGATAGATAAGCACAGGTAAAGGAGCTAGTTATAAAAAGTATCTGCGTGACAACTTTGACTAGATACAGAAGTATTTGTAAGATGCAAACGTATCCGTAATATCAAAGTATCTGTTAGATACTTTAGTTCAATTGAATCTCAAAGCATCCTAAGTAATTGTATGATACTATTATATATCTATGTATGTATATATCTATATATCTATCTATTATATCTATCTACATATATCTATTCATTATATATATGCTATGATATCTATATATGCTATCATATCTGTATCTATATCTATGTCTGTATCCATATCTATATCAGTATGTATTTGTATCTTTCATATCAGTTCAATGTGCTAATGATCCATTGTCTATCTAATACAAAAGTATCTTTGGAATACATATAGAGCTGTTAGATACTTCGATGATATCGTATGCTTCCTATAATGTATATATGTATGTATGAGTTATAGTAAACATATATGAGTGGAACGTGAGATTAGATTAAAGTAGATATCTATACATGAAATATAAGATATATGATATAATAGAATCAAGACAAGAAGCAAGACATAATATAATATTAAATATGATAAAGATTATAATATAATATATCATAGTTAATCTAAGCTTCAAAGTTGATCTGTATATTTATACATTGATCTTATCAACTCTATGCCATTTCCCCCCTCTCTCTCTCGCCCACTCTTGCTCCCCCTCCCCCGCCTTATCATTGCAGCATAATCACAGAGAACACGTGCCACACTTTCAACATTCAAGTACATATTTATTTGGTATTTTCGCTCATGCTGATTCTGGTACAAACGTTGCATAGGTTAACAATAATAATACGAATACAATGACAATCATCTATCTATACGTGTTTGCGCTTCAGGGTAGTTAACATTCGTGTTCTTCATTCACTGATCGAGCTATACTTATGTCTGTGTGAGTGTCGATATGATACGTAGGGCAGCAGCAAGTTGAAGTTGATGTTGAAATTGTCGATTATCGATAAACACATCTCTTTCTATGTGTATCGATATTTATATGTGCGTGTATGATTAAACAACATTATAACGATTCCGATAAGTCGGTTAATCAATTAGATGTAAGGCTGAGTGTGTTAGTGTGTTAGTGTGCAGAGATCCGAGTCTGTAGTTCTGCAGATCAAGGAACTGTGTAGCTGTGAGTGTGAGTGTGTATCTGTGTGAGCGTGTACTCTCTTTCCCTTCCATTTGTTTTTGTTTTTTTTTGTTTATCATGTATGCTGTTTGTAATCGTGAACGTTGAGGATGAGGATGTATCTTAACTTGGTGATTGAGAAATTCATCTGGCGCTCTGGCCAGGCTCACTTAGGATTTGGATTTCGATTTCTTACTGAGTGTGTGCTTTCGCTTGCCATTGGCTGGCAGCTTCGAGCGTGCCGACGTCTGCTCGGCTTCTGGACGGTGGGACTTCTGCGGCGGCTTCAGCTGATCTGGCTCTGGCTGCTGCTGCTTCTTCTTCACAGACGACGTGTTCAGCAGCTTTTTGCTCTTGCACTTTGCCGGCGTCGGGCGCTGTGCCGGCTGCTGCTGCTTCTGTGTGCTGGCCGGCGCCGCTGGCGCAGCCTTGCCGCCCCCCCGAGCCTTGCGCAGTCCCTTCAGGTTCGGCTCGGAGAGCAGCTCGCGCAGCGTCAGCGTCGTTTTCTCGCGCTTCTCCCGCTGATCGGACGACGCCTTTGCCTTCGGCGAGCTGCCCGAAGGCGATGTCGGGTGCGCGCGCGGCGACTCCGGGATGCAGGGCACAATCTCGGCGAGATTGTCGTAGCGCGGCTGCTGCGCCTTCAGGCGCGCCTGCAGCTTGGTGGGCTTCACCGGCGGCGAATACGATTCCATCGAGTACAGCGTGGTCGTGCCGTTCGCGGCGGGTGTGGAGCTGATCTTCCAGCGACCGGCGCGCTCCATCTGAAACGCCCTATAGATGAGGTGGCGCGGCACGGGAATGGGCAGAGCGGCGTGCATTTCCTGAAAGAAAGAGAGAGAGAGAGAGCAAGAGAGACAGGTGAAAATGAGCTGAGACTGGCCTAAATAGAAATTGGAAATGGGAAGAGACAAAAGTGGGAATACTTTGAGGGGCTGGGAAAGCCGATATCTGAACTAGGAACAGTTGGACTCACTCTGATTCGTTTCAACTGGGCAGAGAGTTGCATGATCTGTTGAATTGCAAAGAGGCGAAACTGGGAACAGATGAAACTGTGAACAGCGGAAAATGAACTGATGAAGCTGAGCAGATGAAGGTGGGAACAGTTTGAGTAAGCAACAGCCTGTGCTATGATTGAATTGGAATTTAACTTATGAAGCTGTGAACGGTTCGAGCTATATTGGCTTATGCTATGAACAGTTTGAACTAGTGTTGAACTACATAAGAATAGAGCTGTGAACAGTTTGAAACTAAAGAGTCGAAATTCATCAGCTATGAACAGTTTAAGAAGAGAACAATCAGGGTTATGAACAGTTCAAGCTTAAGCTATGAACAGTCGAGGCTATGAAGAAATTAAACTGAAGAGAGGGAACTGTGAACAATTTAAGCTAAGAACGGCATTTGCTATGAACAATTTACGATATGAACACTTTAAGCAATGAGGGGCATATGCTGTGAACAGACTAAGCTATGAACAGAGCTGTGAACAGTTTAGATTATGAACAGATGAAACTGCAGAGACGAAAGTCATCAGCTATGAACAGTTTCGGAAGAGAACAATCGGGGCTATGAACAGTTGATGCTAAGAAACAATTGAAACTGAAGAGCTGCAATTGTGAACAGTTTAAGCTAAGAACGGCTGATGCTATGAACAGTTTAAGCTATAAAGAGCTGGAATAATGAAGAGATGGAACTGAAGAGACGAAAGTCACCCGTTTATGCTGTGAACAGCTTACACTAAGAACAGTGGAGGCTAGGAACAGTTGAAACTGAATAAATAGAACCGTGAACAGTTTAGGCTATGGAACTGTGAACAGTTTGAGTAATGAACAGCTAAGGCAACGAAAAGTTTTAACTGTCATTCTGAATCTTAGGAAATTACATCTTTAGATTATAGGCAAACAAATGGAGAAGACTTCAGCCGAAGAGAAATTAAACTAAGCTAAGTACAAGGAACAGCTAAAATGGACGTCCAGCTGTTCTCATATAGCCAGCCCAAGTTCTACATAGGAATCTGAATCGGAATCTGAAATGCATTAAGCCATATCCTTACCGAATTGTAGAGTTTCCTTTGATCCTTGCTGAGCTTCGTCCAGGCATCGGGTGCCCGTTCCATGGCCTCGTCGATGCTGCAGTTGTGCATTATGCAGAACTCCCTTACATAGTTGTAGAACTGTATGGGCGTGGCATTCTTTGGGCGAAAGTGGCCCATAGCTGCGATGAGGCCGATGCGTTTCTCGTGCGGCGATTGAGGCGTTTGCTGTGGCTGCGATTTCGCCAAGTCGCGCAACAATTCGGCATCGCTCGAGAATATTTTGTTCTTCGCTTGCTGTTTTTGTTGTTGTTTATTATCTTTTTGTTGCGGCTGTTGTTCTGGTGGTTCTGGTGGTTGTTGCTCTTGTTGTTGCTCCTGTTTGGGTTGTTCTGGTTGTTGGTCCTCATCGTCGCTTTGCCCGTTTTGCTGTAGTAGCTGTTGTTGTTGTTGTTGTTGCTGCTGCTGCTGCGGCGGTGGCGACTGCGGCGACGGCGGCAGCAACTGCAGCTCTTGTTCTAATTCTTTTAGATTTTGAGTCATTTGAACGCGATACTTAATTTGGTTTACACCGATTATCAATTGAGATTTTTACACTATCACTTTTTACGATTTTTACAATACTTTTTGCCAAATAATGAAATAAAAAATTCAAAAATAGAAAAAAAAAAAATAAATAAAACGTGTGCTATAGTCGAGCACTATTTATAAAATGAAACTAAACTGAAACTGCTCTGGGGTCTGCCTGAAAATCGAAGGCAAAGCCTCCTTTGAGCACACAAAAAACACACGAATCGAAACAAGTGATGAGAAAATCAAAGTCTGAATATATCGATAAATTCGAGTTGATATCGGTAATTTAAAAACATCATTTCCATTTCGAACTTGACTTGAGAGATTTATTTCCCACAGCCCAGCCGCCGGAATGGAACACACACAAGTTCTCTTGTTCTATTGCCCATTTAATTCAGCAAGCGACATGGTGACGTCTTCTATGCTTGGAATACTGAAATAGAACACAAAAGAGATTGCTTAACAGTTTCTGCTCAGCTCAACGCAGCTCGGCTCAGTTTCCGTTCATATCTCTATCAGCCGATTTAAGAATTCAGTGCGCATGCCATTCGAGCATTGATATTGGGAGCGCACAGCGAACTGGAATACTATTAGCGATCTCGCAAAATGGAATGGCAGAATCACGGCAAAGGCTTTACTGGTGGGAATACTGAAATGGAATGCTAAAGAGTTCACTCAAAGGTCAAAACAAATCGGAATCCAATACTTTTTAACATTATATGATTATCGGATGATATCAGAAATGTAAAAGGATTAACTACTAGGAATGCTGAAATGGAACAATAACGAGTACGATTAAAAGTGTTTCATTAGGTTTCTTTATCCTTATTATAACTCTCATACATAAGTAATTGATTCAGATGCCATTTACTGCTAGGAATAGTGGAATGAAACAGCATATAGATTCAATAACAGTTTTTTAATGGGTTTTCTATTACTTATAAGAGCATAATTAGAGCTGACAGTGGCTAAAACTTTCTACCATTGGTGGAAACGCTGGAATGAAACATCAAAAAGTGCCCATAACAGTATATCTATTAGTTACTAATTCTATATAAATCAGTTTTGTCTTCAAACAATTGAAATTTTAGCTAAGACAAGGGTTACTGTTAGAAATGCTGGAATGGAACAGCAATCCGATCACATAACACGTTATAGAGGTGTACTCAATTATATATAGATCTCCTAGCAGCTAGAGATCAATTAAATTCATAACTTAGATACCCTTTACTGCCTGGAATGCTGGAATGAAACAGCAATCCGATCACATAACACGTTATAGAGTTGTAATCAATTCTATATAGATCTCCTAGCAGCTAGAGATCAATTAAATTCATAACTTAGATACCCTTTACTGCCTGGAATGCTGGAATGGAACAGCAATCCGATCACATAACACTTTATCAACAACTTTTTTCCACTTCTCTGACAATCGCCCGATAATATCAAGCCATTGCGACAGCTGCGACTGTGACAACGCCTAATGCCCATCCCCCGCTACCCTATATATATATCGAATGCTACTGCTACTACCCACTCGACTAGTTGCCGGCTATGCGATGCGATGCCATGCCATACCATGCCATGCCACGCCGGGTTGTCGCGTCGCGGCGTCCGTTCCATTAAACCATTTGTTAGAGCTATCGACGGTCCGCGGTGCACACACTTGAGCGGCGCTCGAGCGTTGTTAACCTTGAACATGCGCGCTGCGATGACGGCTACCCGACTTCCCCGTTCCAGCAGTCGTCGCTATGTATATATATATGCATATACATATAGACATATATACATATAGTATAAGAATAGAACACAAAACTTCTAACAAGTTTTGCGCGTGCGCAGCGCGAATGCAGCTCAGCCAGAGGTAAAGCAAAATGAAAGAAAAGCAAAGCAATAGAACGGATAACAAATGAAATATTGAAAAAAAAAAAAAAATAGAATGAAAAAACAACAACAATAAAAAATCATAAAAAATATATGCATATAGATATGTACATATATTTACATACATACATATATGTATATGTATATGTATATCAATTCTAACGCAACAGGGTGGCTTTAGCAGTCGAAGATGAAAGAGAGCTGGCTCAAACTATATACAAATGAATACACACACACACACACACACACACACACGCACACATTCACATAGACCTACAACTGCAGGCGGCATTTACTTTTCAAGTTCCGTCATTAAAGCGAAACGTAACGAAACGAAACGAAATGAAACGAAATGAAATGAAATGAAACGATAACCAAATCAAAATCGAAATTGTGACCAGAGAGCGCACACGACTATTAGATTCAATGCCAACGGCGAGCGGAAGGTGTGCAATTAGTTTGGCTTATTAGAGCTACCTGGCAGATGCAGGTGTCAAGGGCACCTCAGCCGTCGGCATTATCCATTGAAATCGGCCGTTAAATAATTAACTTTCAAAGCGGTTTCTCGCCCGTCGATTAGTCATAGTCATAGTCATAGTCATACTCATATATCTATATATACTATATGCTGTATATAGCAACTGTACTTTCGTATTTGTGTATTGGCTCGCATAAGTCTTGGCTAACGATCAAGCATGCAAAATTATTCCTATTGCAATACCCTGTAAACGTAGCCAGCCAACTGGGGGGTATGATCAGCTCGCATATACATACATGTCTCAGCTTTATAAAGTTCTATCTATCAATCACTTCTCTCTCTCTCTCTCTCTCTGTCTCTCTTTGGTCAATTTTAATAGCATATGTCGAGTAATTATAGAGAGTTTGTCTTCGATCGGGTTTTGGACTTTAACGAGATATAATAGATGCCCCGCACCGGCTACTTGTTAATCATAGAGTCGGAGAAAAATATTGTTTATACCAAATGGCTGAAAGAGTTTTGCGGAAACTTGTTTTGCTTTTGTTTTTGTTGTTATTTTTTTATTTATATATACATATGCATATTTTTTTTGTTCTCTCTTAAAGACAATAAAACGATCTATTGCCGCTTGCAGTCGCCGCACTTAAACGTTGCTTTTGCTATCAGATAAGCAAAATATATTGAATGAGGAAACTTATTCTCGTTTTCATTCACGATCTCAATGTTTTGGAATATCTAGATACGCAAATGTTCTCACATATGTGTAGAGTTTTTTTTTTTTCCCAATGCAATCTTTTATAATTATTATAAATTTGCATGAGTTTTTGTCAGATTCTCTATAATTTTATATTGTAAGAGCTTCTTCTAGGATTCTGTCTCTCTCCCTCGATCTTTGTCAACTGATTTCTCTCTCGCTCTTTTCTTCTCTTTCTCTCTATCTTTGTCTTATTCACTCTTTAAGTTTTACTATACGCCTGCATTTGTATGGGTAAGCTTTTGCAGCGTTTGCTCTTGAGCTCAGATCATGTGTTTTCTGTTCCTATTCCAAGCCTTTTCTTTAACATTCATGATCTCTATAATTGTTGATCAATTAATTAAAAGCTCTCTTATAGGTTTAGCTTTCTTCTTTAAATATTTTATGAATATTGTTGATTTCTCAATATTGACTCAATCATCGTTATGCTTCTTCTGTTTATCGCTTGCTTCAGTTCCATTTCTGTGCCATCATTTCTAATCCATTATTGTGCTCCCCCTCTCTCTGCGTCTGTCTTTCTAAATCTTTTCTTCTTTTCAAAATTTCAATTAGGGTTGAAAGTTCAACCATCAAAGGCAGACGCCATTAGGGTTTCTATATGTATGCAATACAATCCTTAGAATCGCGAGAATTCAAAAAAATTCTATTCAAATGTCAGCAATTTGTAAAGAATTATAGATTTAGTTGTGTATGAAAAATAGAATTCATATTTAAGCTTTTTAGTACAAATTTAATTGGATTTATGTGTATTTGTATTTCTATTTAGTCATATGGAATGGGCTCGATTGAAACTTAGATGGTAGGCTATATTTTTAACAAAAAGAAAATTATATAGATGTGAGAACTCGCTTTGGGAAATCGAACTGCGAGCGTTACCAATGTCTTCGAGATCCGAGAGAAAGACAACAGATGTCAACGACTGGAGTTCGACATCGAGTTGCGGTTTCCAGATAAGATCTACAAATTGATTATGCTGAACAGTCTTTCGTCCCAAAAGATCTGATTTGGTATGAAATGGACTGATATACCATTTGGTATGTGCTGTGGCTCTCAGAGCCAATAAAAAGAGCGTGAGAAATCTGGTCTGGCTGATTGGGCTATATAGAGGTATATAGTTCCGCTAGTTCCGTTAGTTGACTTAATTTTCTTTATATTTTCCATCAAGTCTTGATTCTAATTTAGCATTATAATGCACAAACAGCTTGATATATGATGTGATATATAGATCTTAATTCCATTTATAATTCTAGGATTCTGCCCTCTCTTAATATCTGAATATACCAGCCATATCTAGCTAAGTTCTATTTTGTTAGATATTCCCATATAATCCCATCTTTAACATATTGCTAGCTCTACTGTAAAATGGCATTTTATTTCACATCGTAAGCTACTTTTATATGTACTATCTATTTTGGCCTCTTGTATAATTTGGCCAATAGATATAGTTGTTGTTGTTGTTGTTGTTGCATTATTTATGGCCGTCTTATGGTAGGCTAGAGCTGAAAATGGCAGCCGACCCTCAAAAAAACATTTGCCTAGGCGGCCTACCCCAAGCCCTCGCTCTGTCGCTCTGTCGCTCTGTTGCTCGGCATATCGGCCTCGGCCTAGGCTCGTTTAACCTATGCCGTCTCGTTTGCACACACACACACGCACACATATGTGCCTATGCGTGCGCTCGTGTGTGTGAACAACCCTTACCGCCTGGCCATAGCTGCCCTACGTCTGCCGCCTCTACCTGCCCCCTCTGCTGCGAGCCGTCGCCCTCTTTCGCTCGCTCACAGGGCAAAGGCGCCTCGCCTGTCGCTCGCTCTCTCTCTCTCTGTCTATCTCTCTCACTCTGTCTGTATCTGTCTCGCTTGCTCGCTCTTTTGCGCAGTCACTCGCTCGCACTCACACACTCTGCGGCTGGCTCGCTCTGGCATTGTGTGTGTGTGTGTGTGTGTGTGTTGTCCAGTTGGCTTTGCCTGCTTGACTTGAAATTGAGCTACCCTACACACACGCACACATACACAC